GTTTGGCTATGACTAGTTAGATGAAAGTCTAGTAGGCTTAACTCTTTTTTTATATCCTTCTGAAATGTTGATTATTACATGTAGTAATACAACTAGAATGTGTTTTTATGCCAAGTATTGCTAAATTTGAAAATGAAACTAAATCATTTTTCCCCTGCTAATATGGGGATAATATATCTTAGAATGGTTTGGTTGGAAGGGACCTTAAAGATCATCTAGTTCCAACCCCCCTGCCATGGACAGGGACACCTTCCACTAGACCAGGTTACTCAAAGCCCCATCCAGCCTGGCCTTGAACACTTCCAGGGATGGGGCATCCACAGCTTCTCTGGGCAACCTGTTCCAGTGCCTTACCACCTTCATGGTGAAGAATTTCTTCCTCGTATCTAATCTATGTTATGTATGTTCACCCTTTTGTAATTTTAAATGTTTCTGAGTTTCAGTAGTCAAGATTGCAACTGTATATATGTAACCATACATAGAAGCCATATATATAAAAGCAATATGTGTATTTCCAATCGTGTGAGTGTTGGATAGAAATGTCATTTGGCTCCTGGAAAAATTAGAAGATGAGATAATGTTTCAGCAGCTTTTGTTTTTATAGGTTGTATCCAATTAAATTCTGAATGTTTGTCTCTAGCATGATAATAGTGCACTGTTTTGCTTCAGATTTGTTGCTGTTTTTCTTACTGCTAATCAAGTGAAGCAATAATAAATAGTTGAAAGAAAATTTTAATGCATGAAGGAGACAATCTTTTATGTAAATCTGTTTGATACATAAAACTGTAGCTCCAGCATTAAAAAAGAGGGTTGTAAGTATATTTGAGGGAAGTAAAAGCAAATAGCCTATCTTAGGCTTACAGAAGCATTCTATTTAATTATGATTATTTTTGACAATGTAGGTACGAAAAACATTCTTCACGTTAGCATTCTGCGATTTTTGTCGAAAGCTGCTTTTCCAGGGATTCCGGTGCCAGACATGTGGCTACAAATTTCACCAGCGCTGTAGTACAGAAGTGCCACTGATGTGTGTTAATTATGACCAACTTGAGTAAGTAATCAAAATTGGTTTTAAAGTTGAACCTTTTATGAAGCTTACTGCTGTCAGTGATTTCTTAAGTTAAATCTGTAATTCAGGAAGTCAGAGGAGATGCCTCAAAAAAATAGAGGAGTTCAACTGTTCTTGTGAGACTGCGTAATTTATTGTTATTATGCTAGCTCAGACAACAAGTTCATGTTTTTTTGCTGGACTATGAAATGCTTTCTTTGAAGCATGAATAGCGTGGCTGAGCACTTGACTGTATCAGACTTCTCATTGTTCACAGTTATTCGTAGTCAAAACTGGTTCTTTATTATGTGATGGCTAGGGCTCTGTTTAAATGCTTAGATCTGGGTTTAGATGCAGGTTTATTCTTTTCAACCTGAAAAAAAAGTTAAGAGACACTAGTTTAATATGGTGAAATTGCAGTTGGTTTTACAGTGATTGAAAATAAATCTGCTAGTGAGTTTACCTAGGTAAGAAACATAAAAGTGAATGTCCTAAACGGTCATGTGTTCTTGAATTTAATTATTGATCTCTTTGTGCAAGTCTTTGATGTAGGTTAAGAGTCTGGTGTAAACTGGTTTTATGTTCTATTTGATTGGTTTCAGCAGAGACTATTAAGTCTTTTAAATAGACTTTCATATAGGGAGTCATTTAAAATGGTAGTTTTTCCCCCAAGAATAAATTTAATTTCTACTTATGTTGGTATTTGTAACTGTTTCCTTTGGCATCTCTAGAGTCTGTGCTCAGGGCTCATGGATAACATAGTTCTATCCATTTGGCGTTTGGTTTTTGGCATTGCATCAGTGCAAACGTTAAAACAAGTTCACATACTCAACATATAGGTATAAGTTGTGCATTCTTGAGGAACCAGATGTTTGCAACTTCAGCTAAAAGATTAAAAAATTACTTTCTGCAAAGGTATGTTTAACGCATGATCTTTTGATCTTTTGTCAAGTAAATAATGTATTTAACAAATCTTGCAGATTAACGTGTTATTGTAGTCTTTATTTTAAAATTTAGAATTTGATCAGTGAGGATTGGGGGGGTTTTTTATTTGTTTGTTTTTCAATCTTTGAATGTTATATTGTGAAGCTTCTGGGTTTTGCATAAGTTAGGTTGTTTTTGTTTTGTTCTTGCCTCACAGTTTGCTGTTTGTCTCCAAGTTCTTTGAACATCACCCCATACCACAGGAGGAGGCCTCCTTAGGAGAGACAACCCCAGCGTCTGGATCGTACCCCTCAGTGCCCCCCTCGGATTCTGTTGGGTATGACCTTATTCCTAAAAAAAATTAAAAACAACATTTCAGTACTGTATGCTTAGAAACACTCAAAATACTGCTTTGCAACTCTCTGCGTTTTTGTAATCTGGCTTGTCATGCAAATATATCCGCCTATGCTTAACTTCAAAGAAGTGAATATTTTCATTCACATGAATTATATAAATTAATAATGAACCTAAATCACATGTGTGCATAAGTGTCGGTAGAATTGGGACTTTACCTGTTAAACTGATTTCTTCTAATGGTAGCTTAGACCTGGTCTAAACTGGAAAGATTTTATATGTAAAATTAATACAAACCAAAATTATATCCTCACAAATTCTTTTAGTTTCTGTTATCAAACTAAAGTTTGTTTGCCTTGAAGTGACATACCTCTGTTTCGGAATAAGCCACACCACTATGATTGGTGTGAACGGATGCGAATTCCAGGTTCATAATACTGCTTTAGTAGTTTTTCCACATACACATTGCTTTAGTATCCTCCAGACCAGCTATCTTCCTCCTGTTTAGATGTTGGATATATCAAAAGCATCTGTTTGCTGCAGATCCAGGTTTTGTAAAATTAGATTTCTAAAACTGACCACATCCTCCATCCCCTGTATTTCCTACAAAGATTCTGGACCCTCTCTCTGAAGAGATAAGTGATCATATTTAGATTATGTTCCCAGTAGATAAGAGTTCTCTGACACCACCTGGCACTAGATAGTTGAACAGTCTCCAGGAAAGAGTAACTCAAGGATGTGTATCAAAGTCAAGAAACCTGATGCAGATTTATTAAGAACAGCAAATACAAAAGCCTTCAGAAAAAACCTAGGACTTGTGTGCTGTGTGGAGATGAACTGAATTTGGCAGAGAGGCTCTCTTGGAATAGTGAGCATTGTGCCCAAACTAAGGCAGAAACACAGCTGGAAGCTACACAGGCACCTGTGGACTCTAACTAGAAGAGAAATTCCCTGGACAGCAAAGACTGTTTTATGAAAGGTCAAATATGATGCCTCCCAGGAAAACAGATTGACAGTCCTGCAGAGGGAACCTTATTTGGTAAGTACAAAGAGAGATTATGTTCTTATTTTGTATTATTTTGTGCAGATTCAAGTGAACTTGGAAGTGCCTCTTCCAGGTAATGGATGTTGTCTCTATATTCCGTGGATGTTAGCACAGCAGATTGTGGAGAAGGCTGCTGTTGTGGTTCTGTAAGCTAAGCAGACTCTGCCATTCTCACCTGAAATTATAACCAGCCTAGAACTATTAATCTGAAGAAGCTTGTTCATACCAACCATGTTAAACACCTGTGGATGCCAAAGGCACTATATAGTCCCAATCCTAATACTGATATATGCTAAATTTTCCTACATTTCAATTGCCTCTGCCTCACATTTGTGCTTTCTTACCAGTTTATGATGATACAACAGGCTGGATTATCTTAATTGTTACATGCACTACTTCAGGCAGTCTTAGTTTTTTGAAGCAAAAAACAAAGGAAAAACTGAGACCAAAGCTGGTTAATGCCTTAAGGCTTTTAACTTCACATATATAAAAATGTTAACGTTTAAATATACTTGCCAATTGAGGTTAAGGAGCTTTTCCCAAGTGTTGCATCTGTAAGTATTTGTGGATGCAGGAGCTGTGAAAGGTTTCTAGCTTTCTACTTTTTGCTTTTTTTGCCTTGCTTTACACTTCATTGTTAAACTGAAAAAAGGGGCATACATCATGCCTTCAAAATTCTGTTTATTTTCAAAATGGTTTATGATTATCTGCTGGTGTTCGTAAGAGGTATGCATGTTACAAAGTCATGCAGTTTTCCCCAAGCATCTGTTTGTAGTATTTCCCTTCCAGAAGCAGTTCAGATGCTATTGTATGAGCATATAGTACTGTCCATACCTTTCTCCAGTTCTTTGATAATACTTCTCTGCTTTTTAAAGATATAATTGTGGAAATATTAATCTGAATTTTTTTGAGTTTAAAAAAAAAAAAAAAGCTGGCCTTTTCTGTAAAAGCATATACTTACCCATGGTTTTGTTAAAGGGTACTACTACAATATGAGACAACAGCTCAACTGGAATAAAAAAAAAAGTCTGACATTTGAGGTTGTCTTGTCTTGGAAGAGAATAAGGGATTGAAATTTGAGTTGGGCAGTGGGGTTGAAAATATGAGGAACTGGCTCTTTGTTAACACTTACTAGTTTAATAATTGTTCCTTTGATTTCTCTGTTCTCCTAGCATCTTGCATGGCATGGCCCACAGAGGAAGGGATGTTACTAATGGTTTGGTAAACCTGAGGAAAGAGAAGGCAAACATCCTTCTTCATCTTTAGCCTTGTGAAGGGATTCCAGCGGCAGGCAAAGTGCCCAAAGAAAGGAAGTTTGTGTTACAAGACAAGCTCAAGAGCAAAGACGTGTGTGACATGCTGAGAAATTGTCAAGGGATCAAATGGAGAAGTTGGAAAGAGAAAGGGACATGGAGGAAAAGACCACTGGACATGATGCAAAAGCTGCTAAACGTGCTGGAGAACTCTGTTTCACTTTGCCCATGTGTATCATCCGAAATCAATCCAGTCCTGTAGCATTTCATTCTTCCAACTGTAAGCCATAGGCAGTCCCTCCAGACATTCCACCCCAAGATAAGGGAGCACATATGGTCCCACTTACACATTTCTGAACCCCTTATAAAAATGTGTCCAGCCTCCTCATTAGGTCTCTCATCCCATTTTAGTTATTTCAGTTTGCCCTATCCTGTTGTGCCAAAGCAGTCGTTTTAGTTATAATCTGCACTTAACTGGAAAGAATTATGAAAAGTGTAGGTCTCCCTAATAATAGCCATTTGTAATAAAATTGAAGTACATAAACTGTATATAATACACTGTATTCATTTCATTCATTGCACTGTCATAAAGTTTCTTCTGTATCTTTGCTCGTAAAACATGAGCACAGAATTTCTGTGAACCCAGTTCCCTGGATCGTACAGATATATGAAAAGGGGAGAGATTAGCTATTCAGAATATTCCAAAGTGTCTTTTTCAACTTCCATCTATTCTCTCAGATGTTGTGATGTTTGGCAAAACTCAGCAAACTCATGAGGCAGATGTTATGGCAGGGTAGGTAACCTGTGGAGTGGGTGGTAAGGGAGTGCATGGTCAGTCTTTGAATAGCACAGAGGCAGGTTGGACTTGATAGAAACTGAAAGCATCTGCGTTGCTTGAGGCAGAACGCTGCTAGTAAGCAGACTGGCAACATCTTCGCTCTTTGAAAAACAACATTTCCCAACATGCTTAATCTTCTAAATTTGAGGAAGGAAGGGGGACCGTCTGGTGCACCATTCTTGGAAGCTTGCCAGTCCCTGCCTTAGAGCAGGCTCCAGCCTGTTATTAAACACCTCTGCTTTCCTTTCTGTCTTCCAAATGTTCACTGATCATTCTGCCTCAGCTGAAGATATTTAAAAGTCTAGAAAATCTTCTGAAAAGCCAAGGAAACAAAGATGCAGTCTTACAATATTGTATTTAGTACTACAACACCATTTAGATCCCTATGTGTTTAAGGGAGCAAAAGCTTTATGTTTTGTTGCATAAAACAACAATGAACTTTTCCCCTAAAAATTGTGGCACCAGACCTTTTCCAGACCACTCCACGTAAATGTTAGCAAACTTCCTACAATATCCAACTTGATATGCATTCTTGCTGAGCAGAAAAGGCCTGGTATCAGAATCTTTAGAAAAATCGTCTTTAGTCTGTACATCGAGGGGGGGAAAACTCTTGCTCCCCAAAATTTTATTTGCAAAAACATGCTAGTGAACTGAAACCTGATTTGGAGGACTAACGACAGCTGTGTGGGTTCTCTTGATAGCCCCCGGTATATGAAGCTGTCAGAAACTTTAGGAAAGCATTGTTAAACTTTGATCTGGGCCCAAAGGCTAGTATAAATCACACCATTGTGATAATCCTGGCAGTTGTTTTACACCTACAAGCCAACATGGATGAAAACAAGTTATGGTATAGAAAAATACACTAATATGTATGAAGTTTTGACTGTTACAGATCTGTCCTGTGATACTTTTAGACTGACTTCAGAGGATGCTCTAAGAGTGGTCTTCTCTAGCTTGTAGTTACAAACTTGTACTGCTATCCTTTTCCCCAAATCAACATTTGGTTTGGGGTTTTTGACTATTTCCAGGCTACAGAGGTGGGGAAGGTAATTTTTTTCATTGTTTTCTGGCAATATCTATGCAGTACCACAATAATTAAATTAGAACATGTTTGGCCTCCAAAATTTACAGTTTACCTGCTTGCTAGTGTAGCTGAAATACCATTGTATCCCAGATCCTTAGCAGTCCTTAGAAACTGCTTGAAAATGGAAATCCACTGTGTTCTTCATTAACAGCAGTAACAAACAAAACCAGTCGTACTCTGGTGTAAACAAACAACCAAAACAAACAAACAAAAACCCTTGGTATGCATATTAGCTTGCAATAGGTTTGGCTTGGGTATGAATATGCAGTCTACCAGGTGAATAGTGTGTACTGCACTGAGTCCTGTGGTTAAACTGAGATGCACTTGTTCAGATTAGGAGGGGGAGAAGAAAAAAGTCAGTACAGTAGACATGCTGTCATTTTAAAAGGGAAGTGGCTCACACCCTGTAAGTGAAGCTAGGTGAATATGAATTTTCAGTTTAAATATTTGCCTAGCTACAGCAAAATAAAAATCCAAACAAAAATCTTGAAGCCCAAACAAACCTCTTCTAAGAAAAAATCTTTCCTGAGTAGACCAGCTCTTAAATATATGAAACATCACATTGATGATTTAAAGGAAATTGAGGAAAATCTGCATTAGAATTTTCTTTTGTATTTGTAAAGTGAACTGACTTGTATCATTGCAAGTTCTAAGATCCGGTGGAGGTACTGTATATGATTTTATAAAATTGTTGGTTCATATATAAAGTAGCATGTGTGGGTGCTTTTCTGAGTTATCTTCCTCTTTCATGTGGACCCAGTTTTGTAGAATAGTAAATCTGTGGACACACTGGCACTTGCTGTGATTGGCAGAGGGTAAAAATCTACATCTGTCTGCAGTTACTCTTGTCTCCTGACAAAACCTCTTTCTGTTTTGTCTTGATAAAAAAAGGAGGGAACAATGTGCTTATCCCAAATACACGGCCCAAGGAAAAAGCATGTTCTGTTATATGTCAGGAAAGGTTATAACATTAAATCAAGATTTGACAACTCTATCAGCTTGTTGCCTGAGAAGCTGTGAGTCATTTGTTAAAGGGATGCCCACATCTAAGAGGCTGGAAGATGAGATGGTATAACCTCTCTAATATGTCAGAATATTGACCTTTTTATTTGTAGAAGGTCTCCTTTAGCTAGGAGGTTGGCTGTTAACTGCTTGCCAAGGCTACAGGAGCAACAGAAACTCAGATGAACTTTAAGCCCCAGCCTGCTGTGTATGTATGCCACAGTAAACAGTGCTTCACAGCAGCTGTGTTCTGGTCCTGTTGATTTTATATTTTTTTTTGGCAATATGTTTGCTGGCGCTATGCATAGCCTACAGAACTAGTTTTGTAACTTAGCTGGAATAGACAGTGTCATCCTCTTCCAAATGATGATGGCTGATCCTGTCTCTGCTAGCAACATGATGGGCATGATGACCTGTGACCAGAAATACAGAAGTGTTTGCAGATTCCCTTTGCAGATGACCTTTTATGACTTGAAGGAGGATGTAACTGAAACAATATTTCCGCAATTTTCTTTTCTGTCACTTGGCTTACTCATGATCACAGAAAATCTGCTTCTGTTGTCATGTGGCAGAGCTCAAATGCTGTCGCACAGTCACTCTTAGTGCAATGATCTGATGTTTGTTGATACACATTTTCCTTAGTTTCGTTATTACTGAGAACTCTCAGGAAATTTGAGCAGGAGTTGGCTATCCCAACAATGATAATACTGGTCTGGCTGAGACATTTCTTATGCTTTTCTTCTGAAATCTTTCTGTGCAGCATCTGACATGCTTGCCTTAACATGAAAATACAGTGCCTTAGAATGTCAGCCAAGTCCTGCATTTCTATCTGTGCAGTGTCCCATCTCCTGATGTGGGTTCTAGTTGCATGATTTCCTTACAAAAACGTTCAGGAGTTCAAAATTTCCTCATCCACAATAGAAAAGATTTTGCCCAAAGTCATTTGTTAGCAATGAATTAAAACTTTAGGTTATGTATATGTGCATCAACTGCATTTAAAAAATGTTTCTGAAATTCTGAACATCTGAAATGCTGGGCTGTTCAAGGCCCTTTCTCAGAGATTTGTCTGAGTTTGACTGGCAGTTTGACTTCATTGCTTCCTAGTACCTTCCCAATATATTCTGTCATATGACAATAGGTAACTATTTTCTTAAAAAGTTAAGCAGGGTTAAACTCCCTACGTATTCTTCCTCTGGCCTCCCTTCCCACTTCCCAAACCTAACCTAAGTATTTTATTACAAGACTTACCAGACTGTTATTTGAATTAATTCACAAGTGCCATGTTTCCCCATTTGCAATTGTGAGAGTGTTGGCCAGGAAGGAAAAGGTGACAGGTACTTAGGATAAAGATAACACTGAGTTCTGGAATCGGTGCCAAACTGTATAAACTCTTCAATGAAAGTTAGGGTAGCAGTCATTAAAACAGACCCATTTCTGAAAAAATGTGAAGAGACCCTGTTGAAAATGTTAGTTGCCCCTGAAGATCTTTGAAGAGGCCAAGGAGCATTTGCCTACAGGAGGCAGCACCAGGACCTATTGCTGCTATATGCTGCTGTATAGTTTATTTCTGAAGCTTCTCCCTGTAGGGATTGCCTCTGTGGGCATGGTAACTAACCCATCAGTAACGGAATGGCTGGAGGACTCCTCTCTTAGGAGTTGTGTTTTCTCTAAGTTCTAAAAACCTTGTTGTTGGATATCACGTATATTTTAACATAAAGTTTTCTTTGACAAAGGTGGCAAATGTTTCTCATTGACCTTTTGCCTTATATCCATTAATTTGAATCGTTAGACTTAACAGTGACTGACCTTGACTTGAGTAAGAGATAAATGCAAGTTTATTGTACTCTAACAAAATAAATGGATAACCAAAGTGACATTCTGCCTTCTTACAAATGAAAAAGCAAGTGTTTAGATGTTTTGTCTTTTAGATACATGATTTGTGAAACCATAAAATTAAAGACTTTTGTCTACATTTATGACTGGCAGCATTTGCATTTCTTCAGAAAACTTGTCTGTATAGTCTGGACACTTACCTTTCAAGTCAAATCTATTGCATTGCCTAACTGTAGCACTGTAAATAACATTTGACATGTTGCACTATTCAAAGTTATTTCCTAAAGGTTGAGGTTAAGAGGTTATATGTTTATTTTCAGTATCAATAATTCGTATTACATTGGCCATAATATTAATCAGTTATGTTGAGTGACCAGTATGTAATTTTCAGTCTTTCTTCATTGAGCAATAATCCTATCCATACAATTTGTTTTGTGATATCTTCTAATTGTAATGTTGATGGGGGATGTTAAGCATTTTTAGTTCTCAATGGATTGCCATTAAAAAGAGTATATTGCATTAACTCTGAAGTGAGGAAACTGCAGAGTATCTTGCTATTTCCAGTCCATGTTGGGCTACGTGAATTTTTCAGATCAGGATTTATTATTACTAGTTTAGTATGGTATGGTAGGGTTTTTTGTTTTGTTTTGACTCGGACCACTTCACAGCCACATAATTGGGTAGTTTGTGCAGCAGAGAGTTGTTGCAATTGATCATAGGGGAGTAGAGATCGTTCATTAGAAATTGTTTTTATTCAGGCTTTTAGATCAGTTTTTTTAATATATGTATTATTATAGTTGAAAAGGACTTACCACACCCACTATGCAGTATTTGAAGCCATTTGTAGACCTAAATCCTCTTTTTCCTTGACTTTGTTTCTCAGACCACCAATTCTCCCTAGTCCTTCTCCTTCAAAATCCATTCCAATCCCACAGCCCCTCCGACCAGCAGATGAAGACCATCGGAATCAATTTGGGCAACGCGACCGATCCTCTTCAGCTCCCAATGTTCACATCAATACAATCGAGCCAGTCAATATTGATGTAAGTATTAATGACGTTTGGATCAGGAATAGCAGATTTTACATTTCCCTTGTGAATATCATTGCGTTAAATTTATCACGTGTACACACGAGTGCTCTGTTTCTAAGCTAATCCTTGAGGGTCTGTCAGAATCTTCATAGATCCCATGTAAGACATTTTTGCTATTGAGAGCTGTAAGAATGCAAATAAGCCATTCACCAAAAGCAGAAACTGTCTTTTGGCAGTCCTGTCCTTTCATTTTCAAAGAAACATTCTACCACAAACTGCTGTTCTTTTTTTTTTTGGTCATTAGTCCCACGGTTCATGCTGCTAGCTGTACCACAATGTTAATAATATGAAAGCCAGTAACCACTCTTGCAAACCACTGTATGTGTTAAGCATATTTCTTTATATGCAAGATAGGGATTTTTAGTATTTGTAATTCAAGTAATATTTCTGGCATTAAAGAAAATTGAATTATTGCACTAAATTGAGTTCAGATTTACTGAATGTTCCTTAGGAGTTCAGGAGCCCAGTATATATTGTTCTGAGCAGTCTTTTGAAGTGTTCAGAAACTGCTACACTTGTTTTCCACATTTTTGAAATTTCTGGATGCTGAATTGTAAATAATAATAACGATTGATATTGGTTATAAGGCCAACTAGGACTTCTAAAAATGTTGGTCTCGACAGCCTCTTTCTAATTTTGCTAAGGTATACAGCTTGTGTTTTACCTTTAAGTCTCCTCTCTAGAAATTAGTCATTTGCCAGGTGAGCAGTCTTGAAGTCTGCCTGGATACTGAGGCACAAATTCTGGTTTGCATGTGAGCTGAGTGAAAGCTGAAATGTTAGCTGAGTATTAAGAGTGGCCACATAAACATTTGCATATGGTATGTGGCAGCGACGCAACTGAGAGGCAGGACTGGTGCTTTCGGCAGCAGTGCGGGTGTATAAAGGAATAAAAGAATTGTGTAATCGAGAAAAAAAAAATCCTGATGATGAAAATGGACATACAGAGGGAAACTACTAGACTTCTCTAATTTTCTTTTGTTTAGAAAATCTTTAGTGTAATTTGCCTTTAATCTGGGTATGTTGTAAAAGACACACTCAGTTCACGGTGTATTGCAAGTGAAGGAAACCTTTTGCAGTTAGTCATTTCTGAGAAGAACAGAGTGCGCCTCGCTATGCAAATGAGGTGCTTTGTTACAAGAAAAAACGAAGTAGAACTCATTTGACTGATGTACCTCAGCACAGGAAATTGATGTCGCAGCTTCTGAAATTACAGTTCAAATAATTTGTGCTACTAGAACGTTTGATTCAATATTTCTTCATGCATTTTGGCCAACTGCATGTTTAAATCAGTATTTTCATGTCAGCATCTATTTTGGGTGGTGTACATTTCACTCTACTACTGAGAGATGCAGTTTTAAAGCAACTAATTTTGAAAAGTTTAGTAGTTGTTATAAATAGTTCTTTCGAGTCACTGCTATTAGTAGGGTAGGAAACAACTTTTATTTCATGGACAACGTATGAGGTTATGGATTCTCAATTTGATCAATATCAATTGATTCTGGAATGTAAATGATAATACCTAAATTAAACACAATTTTTTTTTTTATTTATAGGACTTGATTAGAGACCAGGGTTTACGAGGAGAGGGAGGTAAGTAGTGTTTAAACTCGCTACTGTGCTGTATTTAGTTACACAACTGCTCTGTCCCTTCCCTTTGTTCTACTTCCTTCTACAAAACACAGGCACAAAGGAAAACATGACTAGAACAAAAAATGAATTTGCGTTTGCTTATCCATGAATTTAATATTTGTCTGACAAAAGTTTGAGTCATTTGCCGGTCATTCTGGGAGTGGGGGAGACGGAAGGAGAGAAAGTTTTCAAGTGGTATCTAGTTTTTTAGTTTTAAAATTATCTTGCACCATCACTTTTTTGTGCTCACACACATGCACTCATTCACTCACACAGCTGTACGCAGATATGCTACGACTTCCCAACATAAAGATTTTTATGCCTGTTGTTACCTTTACACCCATGGAAACAACAGGGTGTTTCATTGAAAACCATCAACATAGTAGATGGACCTTCCATACAAACTGCTGCATCCTAAAGCAGCATGAAATACTCCAGTTCTTCTCCCCCTCTACCCCTGCTGAAGATGCTGCTTTGCTGTACTGCATGCCTGTGCTACTCTTGGAACCAGGTTGTTAGGACCTTACGCTAAAGCCGGGTCTTTTTATGTTTCCTTCAGTAACTCACAGCCATAATTCACAGTTAAGTCAGAACTAGTGCCAGAAGATTTATTTTTCTTCACATGTTATGCACGGGCCTGTTAAGTCACTTCTCCCACTGACTATCAAGGTCCTGAGAGGGCTTCTTATGTGTGTATTTATTCCTAAGAATATTATTATTATAATAATAGAGAAATAATAGATATAAAGAAATAGTAAGTAGGGCAGGCATATGACAGTTTTTCCAACTCCAAATCATTAACACAGTTGTGTCCTACTAATTATAAGTTGCTTCAGCCATCAGTAAAGTCTGAATTACTTTAGTGGGTGCTATCCTGATCTCTAAGGTTTTATACTGTGGGCATCACTGTCTTTGTCCCATCCTAATCTGATAGTTGGTAGGATGGTACCTACCTACTGCCTTGTGTTTGACGGAGCTGTTTTTTCTTATGCCAGCAATAGAACGCTTTTTAAAAACAAATTTTCTTGAATCCTGCAAGCCTGCTAATTTGAAGTTGCCAGTTTTAGCTATTTTTGTATGTGTTGATAGGTGTGGTTCTCCACAGTTTTGCCCATTTTGTCCAGCATTTAAATGTTGTGCTATCATGTTGGTTTTAACTTTTGATCATAAACTGTCTGCTTGGCATCTGAAAACAATTGGCCGTTCCCAGTCCTGAAACAGTGTTATTAGTAATTGACTTTTTTTTTTCCTTCAAAGTACAGAAGCAATCTATGAATAGGAGTCAAAGCATCCTAGTTATTTCCCATGACTTCTTTCATTTCTTCTATGTGTCTGTCTTTCTGTCTCTGCCTGCCGGTCTCTTTCTCTCTAACAGCCCCTTTGAACCAGCTGATGCGCTGTCTTCGGAAATACCAATCCCGGACTCCCAGTCCCCTCCTTCATTCTGTCCCCAGTGAAATAGTGTTTGATTTTGAGCCTGGCCCAGTGTTCAGAGGTAGTTGGGCTCTTCTTTCTTGTTTTCACCCAAACAAATTTAAGTAAAACCACAGATGCTGTTTGTGCCTCACCCTCACACCGTGTGTATGTAAGTGTGTGAGTTTATCAAAACACCTCTGTTTTTTGCTTGGCCTGGCTGGAATGCTTTGAATGTGCTTTTTACACATACTCACTTTCACCTTTACACGCTTGAAAATGACTGTAAATAAAACCTGACTTAAATCTTCAAAAGCAAGGAATTTCACAGTTGAGGTTTTTATGTGGACCTTAACGTAATTTTTCTAAACAAAGGTCCTTGGATTGCATTGAAGTGATTTTTAAAGACAAAGTGACATCCTTAACTTAGAATTTCCTTGACTGTTCAGTTTAAGTCAGTTCAATACTTTAATGGTTTTCTATATTTAATATTCTTTGTTTTGAAAAGTAATCTAGGAAATCAAATGTGAATTACAAACATTTCCATTGATGTCTTGTTAGGTCTCCAGCTTTTCAAGTAATGAGTCATGTCAACTTTCAACAAACACCTCATTTTGAGAACGTGCTATTGATACCACATTGGGGCCCTAGATGGCTTAGACCATGTAGTTTTTATTTAGTTAGTAAATTCCCAGTGAAACAGTATTTGTTTGTGTCCTGTACCATGTAAAATAAGACTATTCCATTTTCATATCATTACTCTGTGGGGGTAATTCAGGCCTAAAGCTGTCAATGGATCTGTTGTATTGCACAAAGTCCCAAAAAACTCTGTGGGATTTCATATGCTGGAGAAACCAACTATTGAGTAATAGCATGAAATGTAAATATTTGTGTCTGTACGTATACATGTAGAAATGGGTAGTTCAGTGCATGTAGTGTGGTTTTCAAATGCTACCATGTTGGCTGTTTCAAAGACTTTTATTTCAGAATATATCAAGAACAGTTCACGTTAGGAACTTGTAAAGTTCTTCCAGCAGTCTTTGTAAGAAGACAGATGTTCCCAACAAGCAAACTGGCTGCAGAATGGAATACGTTACATACAGCTTTAGAGTCCAAGCTAATGACTTAAGTCCAACATTATCTGAAGTATTCTACTCTAATAACTTAGAAAACAGGCCATCCGGTATTATTATGAACAGATTAATTATAATGTTCTACCATGTGCTGTAAGCATTTTTGGTGAAGGGTGAATATTGTGCTAGAGTTTCTATATTGTGGTATTAAAATTTAAGTAGGAGACCTTAGTTACCTCTAAAGAAAACACATTCTAGTAGATCTTTGCTATTGCGAAGTCTTTAACCCCGTAAACTTTTAGAAAATTGCTCATGTTCTGGGAACATCATACATTTAATTCTATATATGTGTGATTTCAGACAAATAATATAATAAATATATGACAGTATAGTGACCATAACATGAATATGAACAAAAGTCCATCTTTCAGGGCACTGGCTTCCAGTTTCTTGTAAATGCAGTTAAGATGTGCAATATGCTTCATTATTGTTACTTTAGCATGTAGGACAAAGTTTATGGATGCTGCATCCCATTTTTGATGTGTTGGTATGTCATTATTTTGTGCTTCCACACAATGTATGGATTTTAGCTCAGTGAGGACAGGCAGAGATGGATATATATAGCCTGATAAATTAACACGCACTGAGTGACTGAACTCTAGCAACAGTTTTAAAAATCACAAAGTCAATTTTTGAACTCAATTTGGCATTAGGAGACACTTTTTTGGTAAGAATGGGGCTTCTGAAGGAATATGAGGAGTATTGTCTTCGGCCACTTCCCAGAACACTGATTTGAGAGGAAGCGTTGGAATGTTGGAGGTCTTGTACAATGACATACACTGTTTAACAGAGTAGCATGAATTTAATTAACAGTTCACCCTATTTTATGTCCTTTGCATTGGGAGGGTCAACATAACCTTGTTACGAATAGTTACGGTGTATTTTAAAAAGCAGTGTCTAGTTGAAGTGCTCTATTTGTAAAGAGCCATTGGCGCTCTGAAAAACAGCTCTGTTAGTGACAATTTCCTGCATAGATTTGTTTAGATAACACATAGGCGACAGATGTACTGTTCTTTTTGTATTTAATAGAATATGCTTCAAATACCTAACTAAAGTACTTGTTCTTTTTTAATACTTTCTACAGTCTAATATTTACTTTTAAATAAGAGCTCTCTGCTAACAGATAACTTTAAAACAGCCAAATGGTTTTCAGGTGGCACTTGGAGACTCAACTAGAAAACATTTCAATTTTTTGCGTTTAGTCTATTTTGATTCCAAAGTACAGTATTTCAGCTATTTTTTGGGTCTCTAAAACGTTAGCTACAAGAAATCTGAGAGGTAGCTGCTGCTAACTAAAACGCTATTGCTTTTCTTCTGAAAGAAGCTAGCGGAATTAAAAACCACATTCTTAATTATTTTTTTTTTCTGTTTAAAGAGACGTTGTCCTTCTGATAATTAGTGAACAAGAGGCTGGGGACTATCTGGTATACAGGGATGTTTGCTATAGACTTGTCTTTTCCTGAAATCTCAGACTTGAGCACTAATCTAATTTTAGGACAATATTCCTGGTATAAATGTGTTCCCTCCCAACATTTACATTGATGTTTGGAGATACTGCATCTTAAACACAATTCTTGCACCTAATATCAATACATTCTTGTAAGCTGGCTTCTTATAGATAAAATTATCCTGTTTCTGAAATTTAGGTTCAACTGCAGGTTTGTCTGCAACACCTCCTGCCTCTTTGCCTGGGTCACTCACCAATGTGAAAGCATTACAGAAATCACCAGGGCCCCAGCGGGAAAGGAAATCATCTTCATCCTCAGAAGACAGAAATAGAATGGTAAGGGGAAGATCAGCTATTTTCATTCGTAGTATGGTATATTCACAGTATAGAAATACTACACAACCATGTTCCTCCCACTTTTCTTTCATCAAAGCCTTTGAATTATTTTGAAGATGAGTACAATAATGATCAAGGACTTTAAATCAATAAATAATGGAATATTGAAATTGTGGGACTGATACATAAATCATTTAAATAATTGACTGTACTCACTTTTACTCCATTGCACCCAAATATCTTGGTGTGCTTCATATTACAATGCCAGTTTCCTTTCAAATAGCAGCTTAACTGTTCCCAGCATGATTCATGAACTTTTAGAGTTCTCTAGTGATTCTCAAATGTAGCAATACGTAAAAATGTCTGCGTTTTTTTTAATTCACAATTTAGCATTATTGTAATGAAGAATAAATGAGACTTTCTTTTTGGTAAGAGCTTCTTAATATTTACTAGTTTTAACACTGCCGGAAACCTGTGGCAAATATTTCATGCCAGGAAATAATTTAGTATACCTCTGTGCTGAGGTTTTGTGTATGGCTGGCTTGAAAAGTCAAATGCAATACCTGAAAAAGAAAGTTCTTTCAGGACTTTAATGATATGAAATGCTGATACCAAATCTTTAACAAAGGAGATGTTTTCACAGACATTAATGTACTTACTTTCTTCCTTTTTGTTGTTTATGCATGTATATAAAGAAAACCCTTGGTCGACGGGATTCAAGTGATGATTGGGAGATACCAGATGGACAGATCACAGTTGGACAAAGGATAGGATCTGGATCATTTGGAACAGTCTACAAAGGAAAGTGGCATGGTATGTGGCCGCCCTGGCAAACAGTTATTCTTAAGCAAGTAACATTGCCTGCTGGGGGCCACGCCGCTGGAAAGCAGCTTCACAGAAAAGGGCCTGGGGATTCTGGTGGACACCAAGTTGAACATGAGCCAGCAGCATGCCCATGCTGCAGAGAAAGCTAATGATATCCTGGGCTGCATTGGGCAAAGCATTGCCAGCAGGTCGAGGGAGGTGATCCTTCTCGTCAGCACTGGTGAGGCCACACCTGGAGTGCCGGGTCCAGTTTTGGGCTCCTCAGTACAAGAGAGACATGGACATACTGGGGAGAGTCCATTAAAGGGCCATAAAGATGATCTTTAAATTAATAAGTACTGTGCTAAGTAGGTAATGTTAGAACTTCAGACTCTTTAGAAACTCAGCTCTTGCATGTTCTTCTGAATTAAGTAATTATTAGCATAAAGATGAAACATAGTTACTAGAAAGGCTTAAGTATCCATCTTGAGGAATGAGGATTTCAAATGGGTATTTGGAAATCTTTGACTTGGCTAGGATTTCTCAGAGTAAAATAAAAATAGTGTTTATATATTTTATAGAATATTTACTTATTTTAATATTGTAGTGATTTATTTCACAAAAGCTAGAAAATAGGGTCTATCAATATTTCTGATGCTTTATATAGCATTTTCTCAATAGAGGAATGTGTATCAATGGCACTTACTAAAAATTGCTATTTTAAAGGTGATGTGGCAGTGAAAATGTTGAATGTTACGGCGCCCACACCTCAGCAGTTACAGGCTTTCAAAAATGAAGTAGGAGTGCTCAGGTAAGAATATTTTTAATGGCATAAAATAATGTGTATAGATTTATGCTGAATTAATCATTGAATTTTGGATTTCCATTAGAATACGTTGGTCTTATTCCTCCGTGATGATACTTCGGGCAGAAAATATAACTTGCCATCTTAAATTACTTCTTTGTATCTACTGCTAGTCTTCCCCTGTATGTGTTTGTCTGTATGTTGCTGATATGTGTATGTCCAAACGCTCAAGACAGGACTAGTTTTTATTATTGTACTACTCCCAGCGCATAGACAAGCCTAAGTGTGAACTGTAGGCCTTTCTTTCCTCTCATCCACATTTGAGATTGAAGGAGAGCATGACTAATTTTAGATTTTGAGCTACAGCACTGCCCGTGTTATCTATTGTTTCATGGTTTCTGTTCAGTAGCATTGACTTCTCTTTGACCTTTTTTTTTAAATGTAGTTCTCATAAAGTCACTTCTTCATTTCTTTTTCTTATGTCTCCTGCTTGTACTTTCTCAGAGGAAGTATTTGTCTTGGGTTCAATTCTTAAAAGAGGTTCCATCAACACGATACAATAGAATATTTGTTGGGGAAGACCGTTGGCATCCAGGTACAATCTTGAGCAGTCTCAAGCAGAATTCTAAGAAACAAAATAGAAAGAAGGCTTTTGCCTCTGGAAAACTGATAGGTTGAGCTAAGTGCCTATGCTGGACGAGCATGCCCAATAAGCTACATGGCGAAGAGGGGATGATCAGCCTTTTTCCTTAGGAAGTGTTAGTTCTGAAAACTCTAAGCCCATGGTTGTGGAAGTAGAGGCTTTCTGGAGTACGCTGCTTTGGGTATCTCTGCATATTTTTTACATACCTGCTCAGGAGAACTTAAGGAAATCAAAAATCTTGTATTTCATACCTAGTCCAGATTTCTGCTGGCAGTCCCATGGCTGGATTCCAGCCTTTCTCTGTTGATTGTTTCAGCACTTACAGTAAATAGTCAGTTGTCCTATCCTTTGACCCAGACAAGCCAGATTTACCTGCGGTTGTGCCTTTTCCATTATGCTTCATCATTACTTTCTTAGCTTTGAGGCAGGATTTGCAAGAAACCACTTATTTTTTGTTCACTCAGCAGTTACTGTCAGCATCACTTAACAAATCCTTGAACCTGAAAAAGGCACAGACACATAGTGTAGAATTGTCCTAGTCTGCATTACTGAGAGGACAACGAGGTCCACACTCTAGGTTCCTGTGTTAGTTTTTTAATATAAGAAAACAGAGAGCTCTGCCATCTTCCGCAGGGGCATAGATTTAAGAAACTACCACAGGTTTTAAGCCTGGTCTGTCAGGTTTCATCAACAGTGAGCTAACTGCCTTTGGTACCAAGCTGTGTTGGAAGAAGACTGCCTTTATTTTTCCTCAGCCCCTGGGAAAGCTAGGAAATACTCTAGAATTCTTAGATGCCTTATCTTTGTAATATCTCATTAGTATGTTTGGAGGTATCTAGTTCTTCATGTCCGTTTGATGAAAATAAGAATGTGATTGACTTTTCCTGGAGGGTGAGGAAAATCTTTCAGACTTTGCAGTCTATCAGTAGATTCTTTCAGGCCTTGAATCTGCTGGGATATCTACTGAGATAATCCTCTCTGAATTGTTTGCTGTGAAGTTTTTCTGTCTGGAGTTGCTCTGCCTTTGAAATAGGTTTGATTTATCTGGCCAAATCTCTGTGGTGAGCTCCAGTCTCTCTTAGTGCTATTTGGAAACAAGTTCATATCATAACCTTTCTGAGGTACAGTTTTCATACCTGTTTCTATCCTTTCTTGTACGCTGGCTCTATAGAGAGTATAAAATTCTTGTCAAATAAAGCACTAAGAAAAACTGAACCCTTGTCAAGGAAGTGTGTTGATGGTTTCTGAACAAAAGGGTTGTCCTTCCTGAAGGCTTCTGAGACTGGAATTTCATTTTAGATGTCCTTATTATGGGCAGCAACATCTCATAGCTGCACTAGGGTTACACAAAAGCAGACTTGCCTGGAAACCATTGCTGTCCCATGGAGATGTGGTGGTAACAACATCTTCTGAGCAGTCCTGTGCTGGGTTGCTTGCAAAAGCAAGAGGAAGCGGTGCTTACCCCAGAAACGCTATTCCATGACATTATGATAAGAAAGGCTAACTACAGGAATAATTCATTAAACTGGATCTAGCAATGGGTTATCATGTTATTTTAGTAAAAGCTGAGATTGACACACAACTTATGTTTGGAAATATATATTTAGACTGTGATAGATCTGCCTATTTTTTTCCTGATTTCCTGATACGCCTGTTTTCCTCGATTTTTTTTTTTTTTTTTTTTTTTTCAACAGGAAAACGCGACATGTGAATATCCTGCTTTTCATGGGTTATTCAACAAAACCCCAGTTGGCTATTGTTACGCAATGGTGTGAGGGGTCCAGCTTATATCACCATCTACACATTATTGAGACCAAATTTGAAATGATCAAACTAATTGATATTGCACGACAGACTGCACAAGGCATGGAGTAAGTATTGTATTACTTATTTGCAAATGAGCATTGCGGTAATGTTTACTTATCCCCTTCACGCTCTGACTGACATTGGCAAATAAGGCCAGCTATCTGCTCACTTTGCCAAGCCCAGTGTCCTACCTTGATGATCAAAGCATTTGGTCAAGTGTTTATTATTTTGATTAGTAAAATAGACTTTGTGTTCTGAACATAGGGAAATACAAATCATCAAGGAAATATAATTTTGGATTGTAGAATAAAGATAATTACAGTGTAGTTAAACTTTCAGTCTTGTGAGCAAAGATTTCTGTTCTAGGCTTCACAATCTTCACAGTGCAGATAGGCTTATGACAGGAGGTAAAACATAGTTTGAAAAGAAACACCCTGTGAACAAAAGGACAGAATCCTGTAAGATAATGCAGAAGGCAGATAACACAGCACTGTTAGCAAAAAGAATAAATTTTATTTCTCCTTTTCTTATAAATATTGTAGCTCTCTAAATAATAGATTTCAGCATCTGAAGAAAACATACAAAACATTTTGTTTTATGGACTGTAAGTAAGCTTACATAGAGGGCAATTGAGTGAGAATTTACAAAACTAGCCCAATATTGTGTGTCAAAATCAGAACACTAATGTAAGATCAGAGAAATAGCCCTCCAGCTGGAAAACCGCTACGATGATTGCAGTTCATTGTGCCATTTCTCTACTGAGTATTCTATTACATTTTCAGTCAAGAGGTGGGAGGTGTTTGCAGCAACCAGCCTCAGCCTTCTGTTAGCTTCCTCATCTCCCCAGGCTCCCTCTGTAGGTAGTGGAGATGCAGAAGCTGTTTTATGAGTGTGATTCAAAGCAGAGAGATAAATTGAGGTTTTTCCAGCAGGTTTGTGCCAATCTCATTGACTAAACAAAAAGCCATGGGAGACTAGTTGCCTAATTTAGGCTGTATCTATGCTGTGGGGCAAGTACTCTCCTCTGTGTTCCCTGCAATCTATTTATCCAGTCTGCAATCAGGATCTTTTTTCCAGTCCCATACTAAAAAACAGTCAGCATACTTGAGTACACACTGAGACTGGGAAGCACACTGAGCTCCTGCAATTTGGAAGCACCTTACCTAAAGCTGTCAGTAGCCCGCAAAGCATCTTGACAGTCACAATTAAGGCTGGGAGGCAGAACCTTTGGCACCGAATGGCATGTCAAAAACTACTGAAGTTCTTTTATTTTAATCCTGAATATTGAGTTAGAACTGAAGAGCGGAAGTTGGTGCATATTATTTCATCCTTAGTTATTTCATCCTTCAGTAGAGTCAGGTTTGAGTTGGAAATCTAAGCTTTATGCTATTTTTGGTTTGTGGTTTGTGCTTTTTTTTCCTGTGACTGTTGCAGAAACTATCATGGGTAACTGAAGTTTTACCACCTTGATAAATATGTACGGTTAGAATACCTACAGAATTTGTGTTTCAGTAATACAGAGAATTTTGAGTTCTTGATTAGTGAAATATGTATTTAACCAACCTAATCTATGATGTTCCTTTTCAGTTATTTGCATGCCAAGTCAATCATCCACAGAGACCTCAAGAGTAATAGTATCCTTTCCCAGAGATGTGATTGTGGAATGTGACAGCATTCCTGGGGTTTTTTTGTTGTTTGTTTGGGTTTTTTTCTGCCAGAAATTAACTTACTGATGTGAAAAGCTGTTCATGTGTGAATATTTGCTGAATTGAAATTTCATGGAGAAGGGTTAATATCACTAGTAGCAAAGTAAGGAATACCTACTGTGTCTATTGATGTGATTGCAATAATGTAGCAAGTTTTGTTGTGATATCACAAAGATTTTTGCATCATCTGGTGTTTACATGTAATGACAGATTACGCCAGGTCACTCATAGAATATTTTCAGCTTTTCTTGTACTTAGCATTTCAAGAAAGTCGCCGAGGCTGTGGTCTGTTCAGTACTGGCCCAGTCATTACTTTTGTAACCCTTAAGTACCATAATTCACCATGCTGGCTGCTTAGAACCTGTGTTATATGAAATCCTTCTTCAGTGATGGTGGATCGTTAAAACTGTTATGTCTAATGTTGCAAATTTGTAGCTCTTCATTGTTCTTGTAGGACAGGACCAGTACCACTTGTTCGTTTTCCCTTAACATTTCCCCCTTAGATATTTTTCTTCATGAAGACCTCACAGTAAAAATAGGTGATTTTGGCCTAGCTACAGTGAAATCACGATGGAGCGGATCCCATCAGTTTGAACAGTTGTCTGGATCTATTCTATGGATGGTAAGCAAGGGGGTAGTGCTGTGTTTGCTTCAACAAATTTAATTGCCTTTGGCCAAAGTTTCTAAGACTTTCTAAGACCTTCCTGCACACTGACATACACAAACTGTCTTAAGCTGGAAAAGACAAGCAGTAATATGAAGTACTAAATGAATACTCTTCAGTTCTTCTTTAAGCATATGTTTTCCAGTAGTCAGCAAAAAAACTTTAGTGTCATCATTCCTTATTCTGAGGTTTAAACTAAAAAGAAAATGGTGGCTAAGGAAAAAGGGTATGATTAATCCAGGGTTGAGGAGAAGGTTAGAGAAGCCATGGAAAACATGCTGCAAAAGAGCAGAGGAACTAGCTCAGTCAAAAGAAAGATGCTCTTAAGTTTTAAGGATTCAAGCATGATTACTCTCAAGAGGTTGTACAACTTGCTTAAGTCTTAATAAGAAGTATAGTTACAACCTCCTGTGCAACTCCGCCTTCTCCATTTCTCCCTGAAAAAAACAGAAGGCTCTGTTAGTTGGCATTGTTTGCAGTTTTGTTATAATTCTAGTTTCAAAATAGCTTCTTGGCCTGGACAAGATCATTTTGTTCTGTCATAGAGGAATAGAGGGATCACCAAGCTAAAATGAGCCTATGGATTTTGAGATTCATGTCAACACCCACTCTATATTAGGACCTGGTAACACCTGAAGGCAAGAGTGAGCCTTGTACCTGTTACACTCTGGGCAAGTTCATGTTTTGTTCCTGGTATGTGAGGTGCATCCCGACATGGTGAAATAAAAACTAATTCTTTGCTTTTATGGTACAGGCACCAGAAGTTATTAGGATGCAGGATAAAAACCCATATAGCTTTCAGTCGGATGTGTATGCGTTTGGGATTGTTCTTTATGAATTGATGACTGGACAGTTGCCATACTTAAACATCAACAACAGGGACCAGGTAAGGGAAGGGAAGGGATTGACTTCAGTCACTTGTGGCCTGAAACAGAGATTGATTCAGACCTGTGAAGTACACATCCTGATGTTTTGTGTGTTTGATTTGTGTTTCTGATTCTGATGTTATGAGGTGATGTTTCTACATTTTCTAGATCTGCCTCAGCCACATAGCACCAATTTACTTACTTCTGTTGAGGGGGGGGAGTTTTGTTCTTTTTTACTTCAAGTATAGATTTTCAGCTTCTGAGCTGGTTGCCAGGATACTTATTAGGGAAAATTAATAGTAATCTAGTTTAGAATAGCTCTGCAAAGGCGAAATGATCCTCCATATGTTCAGTTATTCCTCTCCCCCTGCCCCGTCCTTGCATTGAATAATAGTTCAGCAACAGGATTGACAAAATGGAACAGCAATCATCTCGCTGAATGTTTTATATTCATTTCAATCTTGAGAAATGCATGCACCATCTAATTGAATTTCAGGATATCAGTATTTCTCAAATCCTGCTTGATGGAGTACATGACTTTCCAGAGTGTGTGAATCCTGTAAGAAGATTAGTTAATTGTGAACAAATATTCCTTAAGTCTAATGATGCCACACACCTGTAATATGTCTCCACAGGATAGGCACATTTGAAAAAGCATATTTGATTCCTTATTTCTCTGTCTAATCTGAAAATAGTATCTATGCGTCAAGGTCTTTTGGTGTAAACTATTCCATGTCTGGGTGGTGATATATTTATGTTGTTTCTGTGTCCGCATCCCTTGTTTTTTCACTGTCAGTACTTGAGAACTGCAACCATAGCAACGTTCATCTGTGAATGCCATTTTATAAGGCTGCTTCCATATCTGTCAGAACACTTCATCCCAATTCATTACATTTGGAGTGACTCCTCTTTTTTTTTTTTTTAATTGTTTTTACCTTTTGAAAGAAGGGAAATGTCTAGATTCTTGGCCAGATGGATATAGCCTTCTAAAGGCAGTATTCAGGCATTGTTTTGGTTTTACTTTTTGAGATTTGGAAGATTAACCCAGTGATGTGGGTGCTCACAATTGAGTGCTGAAACAAATTTTAAATTGCAAGCGAAACCAACATATAAAATGTGATCTAATGTCTTCAGTTTTGTCACTCCCAGTCTATTGTCTGAAAAGACATAAATATTGCTCACTCTCTGTTGGTGCATCTACATCTGCTACTATGACCCAACTGAGATTCTTAGTGAGCAAAGCATCGTTCTTGTTACACCTCAGAGTGCTTCTCTCACTTTAACAGATTTTTCTCGACTATGACTGTTCTTGTAGTGATATTCTCTTTTCTGTAGCTAAAACAAAAGTTTAATCCCTATATTATTTTTAAAGAGAAACATAATGAATTTTGAATAATTTCAGCTTAAGTAGTGTAATTATTTTGAAAAGAGTAATTTCTAGATGATAAGTCTTGTTGCAGCAGAGGTAAGGAACAGGGTAGACAAGTCTTTACTATGAAATGCTGCTCTAGCACATGGAGATTTCTAAAGAAACCATATTCCCATATGGTTTTATACTCCTCCTTGATGCCAACACAGATGCGATTGAATCAGAAAGTTGAAAAAGGACTAGGATTGTGTTAGTATAAATAACATGTAGAGCTTGCTTGAGATGTGGGGGTTTTCTGTTGGATTTCTTTGTCACTGTCAAGATATTGAATAGTTACACTTCATTAAATGTAAGTTGTTATATACCTGCTGGATCTGAGTATTCAGAAAAGGTAGTGATTACCTGCTGCAGCACGAATGGATCTTTGATTAGCTATTGTGAAAGGTCTCTTTAGTGTCAGCACAACTGCAGTATTCAAACCACATTGCATTTGACCTTGATTTGACATGGTGATGTTTGATTTTTTTTTTTTTTTAGATGTATGCAACAGAACATTAACCGTATTCATGCCTTGCTTTCCTGCTTTCTATAAGTTTACTTTGTTTTACACTGAAGTTTTATCCTTAGGTGAAATATAAGCCTTCCATGTTAAAAGAGTGACTGTAAAAATATAAAGCCTATCTAGAGGCAGTTTTTCTTTTTCTTTTGTGGGTTTTTTTTGGGGGGTAGGGAAGGTGGTCAGATATCAAGAATAAGCTTTTGTGGTGTAAAAGTATATGAAACAATTTATTCTCAAAAGGTAATGTTTTTTTAATATCTGAAGTCCATGTGTTTCTTAAAATACCTTTCAGTGTGAACTTGCTGTTGACTTATACTATAAAATAGAATATTTATTTTTACAGAATATTTATTTTTAGGCATTCTGTTCCTGCCACAGAGTTGCTTATTCTTGTTTTTGTAACAGTTTTTGACACCAAAGAACCACTCCTTAGATGGTTATTGCTATAAATGGTAGCCATTTATTAGTGTTCAAGTTTCACAGAAATCTCTCTTAGGAGGACGAGGAAAAATCTAATTTTCTCTCTGTACTGAATAGGTTAGCAAGCATTACTCTAAGAAACTTGACAATTTCAATACTAGATAATGTTTCCTGGGAGCAAAAAAACTTACTGCTGGGACTAAAATGGTCTAGCAAAATGTTCATCATTTGTTACTGTTTGTTTTATGGGCTCACTTTCTTCCCCTCTCATCTTTTTTTTTTCCCCTTAAATAAAGATAATTTTTATGGTGGGACGAGGATACCTATCTCCAGACCTCAGCAAAGTACGGAGCAACTGTCCAAAAGCTATGAAGAGATTAATGGCAGAATGCTTAAAAAAGAAAAGAGATGAGAGACCCCTTTTTCCACAGGTGAGAAATGTTCCTCTTTAGTTCTCAGTCAACTATACAATTGAAATACTAAAAATACAGATCAGTTATGAACTCACTGGCCAGTTAAAAATTTTTTTGATTAGAGTTCAAGGCCAGGTTGGCTCGGGCTTTGAGCAACCTGATCTAGAGGAAAGTATCCCTGTCCATGGCAGGGGGGTTGGAACTAGATGATCTTTAAGGTCCCTTCCAACCAAACCATTCTGTGATATGATACAGCTTCCTACGAGTACTGGTTCAGTACCTGGTTAGTGCTCTTTAATTAGAAATGTTTCTTTTCAATTCAAAAAACAGGTATTAAAATGTGTAGTTGGAAAAGCATTTATGTGTTGCAGAAAGTTTTAACTGGGAGACAGTGAAATTAATAATCACAATTAGACACACAAATTAGAACTTGGTGTGTGTTCTCAGAAATCTTTATACCCTGCTTCTTGCTCTCCCCCAAGCTTTATGAACAGAAATTGATAGTTTTGTCACAAAACTTAATTTATCATGCCTGCTGAGGAAGGTTTGGATTCTAAAAGCTTCAGGGGGACCTTATTTTTTTGTTTTGTTTTGAACGTTAGCCAAAGTGTTTTCAAAAAATAAGGAGCTCCCCCTGCTGCCTTTATGGTAAATGGTATTAAGCAAGCTGCTGCCAAAGCTGTGTTTATTGGCAACAATGGTAGGTATAGGTACTAGTGTATAAACAAGGAGGCAAATAAAAGGCGACTATATTCATTATGCTTACAGAGGGAAATCAGTATGCCCTTTTAAAGGGGAAAATGAGACAGTTTCTTCCAAAAATGTCCTTTTCAGCTTTTTGAGGATATAAATATCAGAGAGCAATGCAGTAATCTATTTTTAAAAGTTTCTGTTTAAATTTGTGTATAAATATTTTTCTGTAGATAATTGATGTTCTGCCTTTGGTTTTAAGAGAATGTTACAACTTCAGAACAACAGATTTGATGGCTTATTTTCTACTTCTTTTAGATTCTTGCCTCCATTGAGCTTCTGGCCCGGTCATTGCCAAAAATTCACCGCAGTGCATCTGAGCCCTCATTAAACCGGGCTGGTTTCCAGACAGAGGATTTTAGTCTATATGCTTGTGCTTCTCCAAAAACGCCCATCCAAGCAGGGGGATACGGTGGGTTTCCAGTACACTGAAAAGAAATGTGAAAGCATGTGCCTGTGTGTCTGTGTGCTGGTGTGTTCCTGTGAGTGCAACACGCATGTATGTTCTCAGTTCCTACCAGCTATGTTTTTAAGGTTTACTGAGTGAATGAAGACTCACTTCCTAACACTGGGCATTGAGTGTCCTGAGCACAAAGTCTGTGTTGGTAACGAATGCCCTGGGAACAGCTGGCACAAGAAGAATTATAAGGTCACGTAAGAGAAATGGGAAAAGTCACCTCAAAACAAGCAAAAATCCTCTTAAGGTCATTGGGTGTCATTCTTGCTTGTCTGTGTCATTTTTGCCTAGTTTATTGATTGGAGTTAGTTACTCAGGAGTGTATTTGATTTTAATCTACTCAAGCTATCATGTTTGGTTGGTTTTTTTACTTCAGTTGAGGTCGTTATATTTGAGCAATAGGCTTTAGATTCCTCCATTAGTATGCTACTCATGTGGGAAACAATTGGAAGAATAAACTTAGCTTCAAGGCTGAACACAGTCAAAACTTCTTGTAGTCAGCAGAATTAAGCAGATACAACACAGAATCCAAAGAAAGACCTTAGTGATGTGTGACTCTTATTTTGACAGTTGAAGTTTAAAATAGTGCTATTTAGAGAACATCTTTTCCTGCAGAGCAGTGGTGGCGTGGGGTTCTTTTTTTTGGTTTTTTTTTTTTAACTTTTTATTTTTGCGTAAATACTCTGACCTGCTGTAGTTTAGACCATCTCAAATGTTCTATTACAATGCAACATAGAAGAAATTCTGAATCTGTTTTTGCTGAACTGCAAGAATATTACTGGTAATGGTGCCTGTATCCTTCAATTAACAAGGATTTAAAAATTAGAAAAACATTTTAAATCTCAAGCATAACCAATACTTTAAGAGAAAAAGGCTGCTAATACCCATAATAGGAAAAGAGGATTTGGAAAAGCAGTTGTTTTCATGGAAATCAGTATTACACCATGAATTCTGTTAAGATGAAAGGTTTTAATTACTTAATATTGTTAAGAATACCACTGAACATGCTTCTGTTCAGTGATGATCTGTTTTTTTCACTTCCATATAAAAGCTGCTAGTTTGACTAGAAGTGAATCAGTTAGACTAGGTATCTAACTGAGAAAGCTAGACACCTTACCAAGGTCCTGTCAGCTCACTTCAAAGATTGTCTTTTCCTCTGGAGCATTCCTCTGGAACAGGTGAATCAGAGTAGTGGGTCAGATTATATCAGTCTTTGATGTCAGATATGAAAACAGTAATGTTATTGACTGTGTTCTTGCATATTTTGAAATTAGTTATGTGGGTTTGTTTGTTTTAAACTGCTAAGCTATTAATTTTCACAGATTCTTCTGCATCGGAAACAGGCTATTGCTACTCTTGTTAGGACATCAAGGGTCAGGAATGTTCTTAATGGCTTCTGATTTACATACTTACAGAGAAGTTTGCACATTGCTAGCAATAGGTTTTTGAAATAGATCAGGAATTCAAAAAGGTTTTCTTTTCTGCTGTCTGGCAACTGAGCCTTTTAAAACAGGAGGCAGAGTTAGAGAGCTTGAAGAGATGTAGGCAATTTCTACATTTTCTGGCCAGATTCTAATGGTGTTTTTGGCTTCTGCTGTTGGAACAGTTTGGGAACTAACTTTTCTCATTTTGTTCGTCAAGAAAATTCAGCTGTTGAAATCTATCTCTATGGAAGTAGTTATGGAGGACAAAAGTTGTTATTGTTTTAGAAAATCTGTTTCCCATCTTTCTGGTAGCTTCACGTCATTTTGGCAGGCTTATCTTAAAATGAAAACAGGATTTAAGTGGTTTTTTTCCCCTCTTACTAATTTATTTTTTAATTCTAGACAGTGAGGGCGAATGCTTCTTAGGCTTTGGGGTACAGTACGCAGTACAGGCTACAATGCCCATCTCAATAAGAGCAAAAGGATGCTGCTGGGTCTCCTGCAGAATCTGGAAATGTGGCATCCCCCACAGAAAAGGGGTAACCACACGGGGAGTTACAGAGAGTGCAGAACCATCATGACTGCCCTGCCCAGGCTTACTCTTTTTCGGGTCTGCCAGATCAGTTCAAACAAGTTATTCCTCGGAGTAGTGTTATGCTCCTTGTTGTTAAGATTGTTTTTCTGTGCTATAGGAACTACAATTATGGGGGGAAAAAATGCTGCCATCCTTAGACACATTTGGCCCCATTTCCTGCTGTGTGGTCAGTCTTTAGACTTCTTCCTGTGTCACCTGTTCTTAGTGTTGAGCACGGTTTGGGATCCATGGCCATAATGTGATCTTAGCTTCTCACTAAACATTTTATGAAGCCTAAATGAAGGCTGGGTTTTGTGGATCATTAACTTTATCTGACATAAAGGCATTTAGGGGTTTAAATTCTGTAGTTTGTAATTGCTGCTTCAATGAGATTTGGGAATATATGTAGGATGAAGATGCCTTAACACACCTGAGGATTTGGGTCAGTGTTCTCAAAGATGAAAGTCAGCTATATTGTTTAGAAACAGATACCTATTGGTCCTGAAAACAGGTCTGTAGGATCCCAGGCTTTTCTGGAGGGGTGGTTTATACTGTGTGAGATTCCTTTTTTTCTTTACTTCTGTGCACCTCGGTATAGAAACAAAATCTGTCTTGGTACCTTCTAGAAGGACCAGATCCTCATAAACACTGCTGTATATTCTTCTGAGGATACTAATTATCCACATCAGTTATGTTCCAAATTTTTATTTAGCCAGTGGATGGTGTCTGTACTAGAAAATCAGCACAAGATCCAACAGAAGACTGCCTCTTTGTCATACTTTTTTCTGTGTCTGTGAATGTAATCCAAGGAAGGTGTGGGAATTTGGTGTTTCCCTTTGATCAGTCAGTTATTCTCTACTTCAGTGGACAAGGCTGGCACGGGCCTGGAAGGGAACCATTCATCTTGTTACAATTCTTCTAAGAAACATGGCATCTATCCCAGGATAAGGAGTACAGTTAAGATGTTGTGTTATATACCTTAGTAACCTTATGAATCTAGATAACTTATAAATCTGTGAGAGTAGAGATTGGTAACTGCATCTTAAATCCTTCCAGGAATCAGGGGCAGCTGGTTCCTCAGAACATGCCCTTATAGTATATTGTTTGGACACAACATGAAAGAAATTGATCATCTTTTTAGTACAGTTTTTTTGAAAGTGTGAATTTAAAATAGTTCCCACTTGCTTTGGATGTGACGAGCGTGAAAAGACTGTAGTAACTAACTTGAAAGGGTTCTGTAAGAAGTTAGAATTTCAAATGCTATCCATTCTTTGGAAAGGAGTTTCTTTGTTATCAGTCAATGCAAGTATCTGAAGTTCTACTGGGTAAAAAGCACATCAGATGCATGGCTCTCAATGAATGAAAATGTCTGTTGTTTTTGGGGTTTTTTTTCACATCCCAAATCGCTAAGTATGTGGTTTCATAGCTTCACGGTAAGCTGATCTCATTTGGAGCAGCCATGGCCCAGCTCCTTACCCTTGCACTGGCAGATGCTCTCCAGTTTCACAAGTCCGTTGCACGTAGTTGAGTGGCTTCCCCCCACTGTCAACAGAGCAGCTCTCCAAAAACTGGTTAGAAAACTCTCCTTGCCCACCAGCCTGAGCTAGCACTTGCTAGGTCAGCTCCTTGAACCATCGTGCCTCAGGGCCAGATGGTCCCGGTGTGCCACAACGGGCAAGTCATTGCTCTACAGCTCAGGTCAGGAGGGAGAGCAGGACTCCAGTCATCCCAGTTTAGATTAGCATTGGCCATTACAGAACTATGTCCAGAGACTTAGCAGGGCAGAATCAGGATGATCCTGTTCCTGCAGGACAGGGCATATTGGGTCATGTTGCTAAAGCTGTCTTCATTTCGTCCATTCATTGCTCTCGGGCAAGACCTTCCTGTCCTGCTAGAAAACGGTGAATTCACAGTTTAGGTTACTTAATTTATCTATATGCATCTAAGTCTCAGGAAGAGGTTGCCTGTGTTCTCTCTACCTCTCCTACAGGTGAGGTTTCTTTCAGAAGATAAAAGAACCAGCTTAGAGGTATTTTACATCTTCAGAACAGAAAAGGTGACATAAAGCATTTTAGCTACTTCTCAGAAAGTCCGGTCAGCACCTAGCAGGATGGAAGATTCTTGTACATGGATAGATGTAGCCATCTACATTCCTCATCTAGGGAAAAATGTTACTGGTAACTGCATTTTACACATCTTCAATCAACATAATCCCATTATTAGATGAACATGTTACCTGTTTTGGTCTCCAATTGATCTGAGATTGGATTAGCACCTGAATTTTGAAAGGGGGGATTTAGCATCAGCTTATCAAAGAAAATGTCTGTGAGGTTTTATTTAAATGGCAGAATAGTCTGAAAATCACTTTTTTATAGCTACCATTCTATCTGAAATGCTTCTTGACTTCTGATCCTGTTTTTCCATTGCCCTTTCCCAATTAATGGTTCATCTTTTATCTTCTGAAATCCCTGTACGACTATTAAAAGCTGAATTATTACCAGAAATGGGCAGAAGGACAAGATGAGTAATGAGGGAGCAATCTCTTGTTTATAAATTGATCTTTAATCAGCAGTTTAGAAAGGCAGAGTGAAAAATAAATTAAGTAGAGCGTGTTTTGAAAGTGTAGCTAAGCATGAATGTCATTCTTAGAAATTAGCCTCACAGGCAATACTTGATGACTTTTTTGTCCTTAAGAGAAAAAAAAAGTACGAAAATTGAGTGTTTCTAGAAGATACTGTGAAGAGAGTTGGGAGATCGGTGAAATGTGTCAGAGAGAAGCAAGAAAAATTACCAGATATTTAGAGTATTTTAGAGCAAGGGGTTTATTTGTTGGTAGAACTAGTAAAACAGGCGATTAGATCCATCATGAAGTTTTTATTCTTTTGTTGTTATAACTTAAACCTACCACCACAGTCTGTGAAGACACACAGAGCTTGAGGTCTGTCACAGCCCCCTGTGCCAACCACCCTTACTTTAGACCTTGGGTGTACTCCCTTCTCGTTTTCTGCGATGCAGAGAGCCCTCTCCCTGCTTTCTTCAAGTTCTCTTAGATCAGCTGGATCAGCTGTTCCTACTAGGCCCTGTAGATGCCTTTTCTTCCCCCTCCTTGTGCAGGCTGCTGATCACTCTTCTTGGCTGTCGTCTTTATAGAGCAAGACATTCCCTGGAATTAATGCTATCAGCCTAAAATTCTGTTTGCAGGGATGTTTCTGGTTTGTTTCCAATGTTCAGAATAAGAATCTTAAGAAAAATCAAAGCCAATAAAACACTCGCTTTTGAAAGGATGGAAGAATACCAAGACACGAAGCAGTTGTTTGAATGTAATGGCATTCAACACACTTCTGTTGAACAGAACAAAGGGGCTCTTATGCCTGCTTATTGCTCCTTCATTATTAGGAGAGCTCTGAGGAGTGCTGTCAAGAAAGGGGCATAAAGTAACCCTAAATTCTTGTGAAACCCAACACAGGGAAGTTATATGTACATTTCTTTTTCCCTTGCTCCTGAGTCCTTTTGGTTAAGAATAGTTGGACACCCCTCCCTAAAAATCCTGTAGAATATACTTTCTTTGTGAGTGGCAGGGAAATTTTTTGGCTAAAGTATAAGATTAAGAGGATGAGTATCTTAGATTCAGTTTCTATTCAATATTCTGGCAAACTTTTTAAGACTTTGGGCAGCGATTTTACTGTGTGCCATAGTTTCTTCATCTCTGAAATGGGACTACCAGTCTATCTGACAGCATGCTGACACTAAATAAACTATGTAGAATTTCAGGAGATCATTGCATGTGAAGCACTGCATAGAATTACTGTTTATTCAGTAATTCTGAAGGCAGCATGGGGTTGTTTTATTTGTTGTGCTCCCTATTAGCGATGCCTAATTTCTGGTCTGGGAGTAAGTAGACAATCTCACCATTCTTGTTTTTCTCACAGTAGGTTGCTATGTTGGTCTCCAAACCAGATCCTAGCATTCTTTAATACTGGTTTAATATTCATGCACTTTATATAGTCTTCAAAGGTTAACGGGTGTATCAAATAGTTCTTTGTTATTAAACCAGTTTCACACTAGAATAGAAATTAGTTTGCAGTCTGATGCATTTATTGCAGTTGTTGCTTTTCAGGAGGACATGTGTGCAATAAGGAGTTTAAAGTGAAATTAAACTGACACATTTTATTTTCAAATGCATGATGAATTAGATTTCACTTGAACTTTCAGACCTCTGTCTTGGGAAGAATGGGTACAGCTTACTGTCAAGAAATTCTTTTTCAGTAAAATATGCTGGGTCTGTATTCAATGTTCTCTCACTGTGTATTCTTTTGTGCTTTAATTTTAACAGTTTGCATTTTTTAACATCTTTTATATTCAACCTAATGTTCATCTAGTCTGGAGAAAATCTCTGACCGCCTAGCAACTGAAATCACCTTGTTAAACCAAGCTCTTGTCCTCCCTCTACAGGAGAATTTGCAGCGTTCAAGTAGCCACAGCACCATGGCAGCACCCACTCTGTTATTTAAGTCTTGTGTTCCTACAGTTTCTTAACATCAAAACTCTGTTCTGCTCCGCAAAACCTAAAGTAATTTAGAAAAGATATCCATAAGCTTAAAAGTGGAGCAGAATGGAACTGCCAGTCCAACACAATGGGAAAAAGTACCTTTTTGGGAACCAGAATCCTCTGCTGCCAGTGTTTCTCCTTCAACACAAACCACCACGTGCATTCGGAGACCCGCAGTGGCTGCCTGTGCCGTTGGCATCATTCCCAGGAGAGAGGAGAGGGCACTCGTGGTTTGACTGGTGCTCGGGCATGAGGGGATGGAACTGCTGCTGCAACTTAGGAGACTTGCTTTGGATGGTCTGCCGGTTGGCTTTCTCCCTCTAACAACGTACCATCAGAGGCTGAAAATCTGATGAGTGCTAATTTAAAAGAATCATCCTCTGTTCTGATCTTTTTTTTCCTGGTGTACTCGCTGATTTATGGACGATGCAGTATCCCCTTTTCACTGTTACGATGTCAGACACCTAAATCTGTCTATGTTATTGGATTTTATTTCAGTAAATTTAAAAGCGTGGGGTGATGGGTGCTGGAGAAGATGTTACTCTAAAGGCGAAGAGGTTAATCTGAAGGAAAAGGGGATGCTGCTGCACCTTTTTTCAGACTTACTTTATCACTTCTTCAAAAAACAAACAACCACCTTAACTTTTTTCCTTTTCCAGTATTTTCTTGGTGTGTGCATATACAACATCTTTTAGAAGGATTAAGTAGATCCTTCTTTTGTTGGTCCAGCAACAAACTGAAGTTTAAAAAAAAAAAAGTAGCGAGATTGTCCTCTCTTATTTTTTTTCTTTTGTATCATATGATACAATGTATTTATCAAAGATGCTACCACAGCATCTGAAGTCTGTTGAATTCCTGATACAGACTGTAAATGGTGTATGTACCTACTTTAAAAGTTTTATTTTAAATGAGGGTGCAGGTTAATGCCAGGTACCTTACCAATACGTAACGTTTTCATAAATGGGGAAAAAAGTTCTCAGGTTGAATTGAATACAAATACAAAACCCCCTAGAATTAGACATTCCGAAAATTATGTTTTGGTACTTTCAAGAGCTTTTTTTAAAGGATTTTTATCCTGTTAACTAAACGTCCTCTGATAAGTGTGTGTGTAAATGTGGAACATCTTGTCCTAATGGCAAGTTGTTAGATCAAAACAAAACGGTACTTGCTGGATCCACGCTGACTACTTCTCCTCTCATTGCTTTCTTCCCTGTCATCTCTTCCCTTCTGTTTGTCTTTCCCTTTTGTACACTTTGCAAACTAGGATGAAGGTGGCGGTATCTCCGTGAGAGTGCTTTGTTTTCCTGTCCTACAATCCTGGTTTTCAAATGGTTGGTAGCTTTTTGACAAGTTACCCAGTCAGGGAAAAAACAACTCATAAAGTTCTGCACATCGTTTACCTCTAGTTAGAGTATCTTGTGATGTGATCTGTTTGCAGAGTTCTCTGGTATGTGGTATTACATGTAAATTATTTGTACAGAGGCAAGTCCGATGTCATTGAAAAGAAATTCAAGCTCAGACAGAAGTTTTCAGGATTTGATTTGTATCTGCCCTGTACCATTCCAGGTGAGGCAGGAGAACTGCCGCCCCCCAGCAGAGAGGTTCTTGCTGAGGGGAGGTGGGGGGTGTTAAACAAAATCATGAGAAATAAATGAAGGAGTTAAATGTGTGTGAATGTGGTGTTCGTGCTAAACATGGGTGTATTGGGCAAGGACACTGTCCTTCCCTCCCTAGGAGAGTTGGACTGTTTCTGTCTGCAGAAGGGTGCTCCCAGCTGAAGGGAGAAACGCACATCAGTAGTGAAACATGCTTCTAAAACCCTGGAGTTTTGCGGTGTTGCTGGTAGTCTGTTATGTTTGTCAGTAAATATTTACTGGGGTTATAGGGACCGGACTAATCTGAAGTGGGAATTATAACTGAAATACTGTGTATTTATATTAATTCCACAAACATTAGCGAGACAGCAATAGTGAATGACTTGATAGTCACTACAAGAATGAAGTGATTCATGTTGGTACATGAATAGAATTGATTTTGTGTACAGGATGCATTTTAAAAAAAAAAAAGGCAAGCACAAATTTTTTTGTTGTCTGCTGTGGGTCTTCAGATGCTGTAAGGTTTTTTTTCCTTATTGAGATTGGCAGGAATTTAAATAGTAGCAATAGCCACTTTCCAGTGTGGAGAAGGTCATGAGCAAGCGGTGGTGTGCAGATGGGTGAAGTCCGAGTGCTCCCTGGTCATCATCTGAGGCCGATACCTAAGAGGTGGAAGGAGCCCGGGGCAGCTGTGGTCAGCAGGCAGGTGAGAGCATTTACAGATAGAGATTCCCAGAGGGTGAAGTAGTCGCTGCTCATTCTCCTTCCACCCCGCGCAACGCTCCAGCCCCTGTAGGGGCTGTGGCCCGATTTGTATGTCAGGCATACTGGAAATTAAATGTTTTCTTGAAAGAAACTGTTAGTGGAGCAAGTATGTACAGGTGGTTCAACAGTCATTTGTTTCCCAGAGCTTGTTAAAAGCCCTAGTTTCCTTCCGCAAAGTCATGCTGGCAGAACGTTGTCTGCTAAAACATAACTGTTAGGATTTTCATTCTATCTTTGCTTAAAATGAACTTATTTTTGTGAAGATTCATTACCCATTAGTCTACAACATGCTTCTTGAGCCCATAGGAAAAGCACAAGGAAAATTGCTATCCTTGTCCATGCAAAGCACTTTATAAGTAACACATGATCTCTGGAGTTTTTTTATTGGGGTTTATTTGTTTGTAGTTTTGTTTTTCTGTTTTGTTTTTTTCCCTGAGGAATGTGCAAGTTGTTTGGCTGCTGTTTAGAGGAGTCCTTTCAGGATGCATTTCTACTGGTTTTCATGTTTGTTTGTTTCCCTCCAGATAGCTGTAGTAATGTGTGTTCGTCTGTAAGAGGTCCCACCTAATACTCAAGCAAAACTTTGGAAGAAATTTGGTTTGTAAATAATTGGGATTATTACTTTTTTTTATCTTTTCCTTCAGGAGTTTTTCTGGATGTCTTGCATGCCATCAGAACCAGTCTTAAAGGTGCCCTGTAGATGTTTGGTGAATGGGGAGATGAGAGTAGACAAGAACCGAGTGCCCTGTATAGCGGTGGGATGAAGGAAGTAAATTGAAATGACCAATACATTCATGTCCATTACACCAAATTTCTTAAGCTTCTCTGTGGTGTCCCAACCACAAGCACATGCCCCATAGTATGGAAATGTTAGTATATATTTTGTGTGTGTGTTGGGACAAGCATCTAGACAGTCATACTGCTTTTAGCTCTACAGTATCTAGGATCTAATAATTATTTGCAAAACTACCAATATCCAATCCCAGCTATTCACATCTTTATTAACCACACATATACCTTCCCCGCTGCCTTTCCTTTTCCATACAGTTAGAAGAGGCCTGTTATCTGTTACATCTTCCCTGTCAGTACATGATTGTTTCCTGTGGCATATTTGCTGGAACTGGAACATTGTAGGGGAGCTTAAACCAAATGGTATGAGTATGGAGGCCTGGTTATTTTGAAATTAATTTCTGCATGAATTAAGTCCTGCGTGGCCCCAGATAAAATTAGCCCAGTCATTTCTTTTTTGCTAAACTCATGCAAGTCATTAAATGAATCCATTTCTGCTTTTTTATGCTTACCCCAAAACTATCTTTTCTTGTACTTGAATGCTTTAGCAGCTGTTGATGATGCAGAATGTTTGAGGCCAAATACTGCCATCTTATTGTGGCCTCTCAACATCACTTGAGTTAGTATGTGCTCATTAGAGGCAGAATTTGGCCTTCATAACATAAAATGAGTGAAATGCTGACTGTTGATAAATACCAGATCTTTCCACAAATGCCCAGATCGAGGGGAAAAAATACACGGAAGATCACACATAGATAGGTTTGCTTCTGTGTTTGCCTGGCGATGCAAATGCATCCAGCATTTTACAGAACATTTGGGGAAGCCAGATCCTCAGAAACCTCACAAACAAGTACAAGTTGAAGTTTTGATAGCTGGAGAGGCTAAATTTAGGGAAGAAGCATGTAAACATTTCACACTTCTGCAGCCTATAGATTTCACTCCCTTCTTGACTGTGAGTGCAGCATGTGTAGCACAAACTATTCATAGTACTGTAGGCAACGTGTCTTTTGTCTGTTGAAAAAAGTATCACCGGTAGCACAATGCGACAGGCAAAGCTTCTAGGTACAGTCAAGTTCAGTTAAAGAGCAGTTGCGTGAGTGGACTGTTACGGCATCACTTGGAAGGTGCTGGGTGTTCTGGTTTTCTGTTATGCATTTTACGTAGAAGTTTATGAAATGAATTTTCTGGTTACTGCAGCCTTGTTAATATGCGTTTGCACTTCATATTTGTTTTGGCATACATTTTAAATATCTTTCTTCATTGCTTCATTACTTCTTACCTAGTAAATAAAATTATCAGAAGAGCAGAGCAGAGCAAAGTTGTTAAAACTTTTTCTTTGCATTTAAGTTTCAAGGATGCTAACATGGAAGCTACTAAGTCAGCACCAGGACAGTAGTATATAACTACGAAACTGTGGAAGGAGGAAACTTTAAAACCTGCAGAATATAGAGTACATCAAGAGCAAATTCAGATGAAAGCTAGCATATATCTTTTCTTTAGAAAGGAGAGCTAGCAAGACCCTCTGTTAAATGGTTTACATTAAAGATCCCCCAAAACAGTCTTTGCAGTTTGCCAAATGATCATGTGCCTTTGCAATCTTAAAAAAGTACAACAGAATGTAAACCAGGTGCTTTGTAAGTAGAGCAGTGGCTTTGGTTTACTTCTGATGCAGTAGTTTTGTATATAGCTATTACTATAGATAGGTAGTTTGGAGTTGGTAACGAGGGCAGAGGGCATTCCCCAAAATACCTATGATCATCTCAAAGCTAGGAATTGAAGAAACCTAATTGAGTTACAGTAAACCTGCTGCTTGAAATCTGCTCTATCAAAAGTTAAATGAGGTTCATTTAAATTAAATAAGCCCTCCTGCCCCTCCAAAGACACAAAGATCTTGTTAAAGAAAGGTAACAGAAAGCTCTGAAGAGGCCCAAAGTTACACTGTCATAGCATCTTGGAATGAGATGGTAGATCAAAAATTAGAGCTAGATGAGGAGAAATTGATAGCTAGTACTCATGTAATCAAAGTCTGCTATATCAGACCATACAACTAATTCCTCGGCCCAGAAAGTGCAGTTAATTTTGTTTTCTGGAATATCAGCAGGTTTCCTTAGTTCTTCCTCAGGCCTCTTGCAGTTACTCTTTAGTGATCGTGTACTGTTACTGCACATTAACCATGGGAGATGGTAGGTGTCTTGTCAGCTGAGGGATAACCAGTGTGTTTGAATTTGAGTTGTTCAAATTTCAAACCGGTTATGTAGACTTTTGGCAGTACCTACATACCAGTGTCATATTTAACCTACTTGTCCATAAAGGACAAAATAATGGGTTTTGGTATTAGTGCTTTTTCAGATCTTTTCCTTTTCTTCTTTGGGGTAAGACTTTGGGCGTAATTGTAAATTATAGAGTTATGTCTAAATGCACAGTTCATGTGAAATATCAGACCAATTTTAATTTGATT